GAGCGACTTGAGAAACTGCAAGTCGCTTCTGGTGTGAGAGAATTGGCAGTATGCAAGGACGTTGCCCAGGGGATGCCTGGATATTTTGATGCTGTTATCATCCTTGTGGGAGGCTTTTCTTGTCCCCGCATGAGGAGCTGGAGCTGATAGAGAGCGCTCATCTGTGCTCTCCCTGGATTCAAACCTGTGACCTGTCGACTTCAATCCTGCTAGCACAGAGGTTGGCGCAGAGGTTGGTGTCCTCGAAGAGACTCACCAGGTAGGCCTCGCTGGCCTCCTGCAGCGCCATGACGGCCGAGCTCTGGAAGCGCAGGTCTGTCTTGAAGTCCTGCGCGATCTCCCTGACCAGGCGCTGGAAGGGCAGCTTCCAGATGAGCCACTGCCCCACCGGGGGCTACTGAAACGGGTGAATGCCCACTGGGTACTAGGGCCTGGACTCTGAAAATGAACCTATGGTTAAAAATAATATTATTCAAATGGGGAACAGGTTTACTACATCACCTGCCTTATGAAGCCTCCAAACCTCTTTGGCCGTGGAGAACTGAACAAAAAGCAGCTCAGTTGGACTGTCCGCACCTCTTCTGCTCCATTTGGGACTCAAAATGGCACGAGAATCCCTGAAGCAAAGGTTGCGGGACATTGCCCTGGGAGAGCTTAGAGCCCACTCAAATTCACCATACTCCCCCAGTCCTAAATTTACCATACAGGAGCTTCCAATGGCGCAGTGGGTTAAACCCTTGTGTCGGCAGGACTGAAGACCGACAGGTCGGAGGTTCGAATCCGGGTACAGCGCGGATGAGCTCCCTCTGTAAGCTCCAGCTCCCATGCATGAACATGAGAAAAGCCTCCCACAAGGATGGTAAAACATGAAAAAACATCTGGGCATCTCCTGGGCAATATCCTTGCAGACGGCCAATTCTCTCACACCAGAAGCGACTTGCAGTTTCTCAAGTCGCTCCTGACACGAAAAAAAATTACAGGGATCTATTTAAGACATGCAAATACCTAAAAGCTTTAAAGAGACTAAATATTGCAGGCTCTTTACAAAGACGAGATTACTGTCAGTATATGTTGAAGTATGTAATGTGTTTTAAATGTTATTTCATGCAGTGGAAATATGGATGCCATAAGATTGTATTGATATAATGTATGTTTATGTTAGAGGCTGTGAGAAAGTAACCCCGAGATACTCTCTGTGTGAAGTTGTGAGAAAATTAGGGAGTATCTGATATCTGCCAAGCAGCAGCAGAATTGTTTACACTTCTATTTCCTTTGTCCTGCGTACTGTGTACTTCATGTCTGGTCGCTTACTGTAATGGATGTGTTTTGGAACTACTCTAAGTAAATTGAACCTGCTTTGTAACTAGACGTCACCAGAGTCCATGTTTTTCTTCTAAGCCTGTGCAAAACTTCCACTAATGCTCACAATTACACATATTTCCCTCAGAGCTGCTAAGAGGCAGACTGTCTGGAATTCCTTACTCCCAAAGACTATGCCCCTGTGGAGGAAATGAAATAGAGACAATTGAACGCATTTTATTGCAGTGCTGCTACTACACAGTGCAACATAACCAACTTTTATATCCAATCCTGTCCTGCATGGCCAGCCACCCCCACAAAGGATTGTTAGATATCATTTAGACGACAAGTGCCACAGGGTGACTCTCATAGTGGCAAAATTTCTCACAGTGGCAACAAGGCTGAGAAATCAACTAACTTCCAATAGGGGTAGTACTTGAAACCATGTAGATGTATCTTGTACAGTGGACTTCTCCTGAGATGGGAGAATTTGTAATGACTGTTGGTTTTACTGATGGGTCTATGAACCATAATAAATATTATTGAAGTTATTTTTTGCTGTCCATCACCCACCTCAGTCTTATTTATTGCAGGTAAAATGCACAGTATTGTTTGGCAATTAGGGATGTCTCATTTGGAAAATCGTACTACAGAGATAATGTACTTCAGAATATGTAGGCTGGTATTCATCTAGGATTGAAACCATCTTCCTAACATGCAGAAACCCACAAATGTGATTTTTTATTAATTTTGTATCAAAAACATTGCATAAATTAGTATAAAACTGATAAAAATAGAAGGAGCGCAGGTGGCTAAATATCTTTTGACCAAAAACGGGCAACAGCAATGGCATTGTCTGTAGCCTCCAACACTTCTTCCTCTGTACATGAGGCAGGGCATAGTGGACAAGCATACAGATGCGGAGTTGTCTGTTCTGCTCCACAGTCACATAAGGTGTGGGATTCTTTTAGGTAGTGCCATTTTGCCAGGTTGTCTTTTGATCTCCCCACTCCACTTCTGAGTCTGTTCAGGGACTTCCAAGTTGCCCATTCTTGGTTTGCCCCTGGAGGAAGACCCTCGTGGGGGGCCATCCAATTGGGATTTCCTGGTTTAGCTGCCCAGAGGGATACCCTTGCTGTTGCTGGGGGGGACGCCAAGAGGAGTGGTAGTTCTCATAAAGCTTTTCCTTGATTTGAGTCTACTGGGAGGAGCTGGTAGCCATGTAGTGGGTGGCTTTCACAGTGTTCAACCTTATTTCTCTCACATTTAGCAGCAACTTCCCATCGCACATCGGGGGGGCACATCATGGGAAGGGGGAGGCAATGCCAGCTAGCTTGTAGAGTTTATCAACAGGTGTAGGTTTAAGACATCCTGTGATTATTCTGCATGTTTCATTCAATGCTGTGTCCACCTGCTTTGCATGGGTAGACCTATTCCAAACAGGGCAGGCATACTTGGCAGTTGAGTAAGGCAAGGCTAGGGTTGATGTTCGTATTAATTATGGATCTGCAGCCCATGTGCTGCCAGTAAGTTTCCACAGGATGTTATTGTGTGCAGCTACTTTGTGCTTGGTGTTCAGGCAATATTTCCTCGGGAAGGCGGATCTGGCCAAGGTGGTCCACGCCTTAGTCACCTCTAGACTGGATTACTGCAATGCACTCTACGTGGGGCTGCCCTTGAAAACGGCCCGGAAATTTCAGATGATCCAACGGGCAGTGGCCAGGTTGTTAACTGGGGCTCCTTACAGGGAGCGGTCAACCCTCCTGTTCAAGGAGCTCCACTGGCTGCCATTCATTTACCGGACCCAACTCAAGGTGCAGGTTCTTACCTACAAAGCCCTGAAGGGTTTGGGACCCGCCTACCTGCGTGATCGCATCTCTGTATATGAACCCACACGATCCCTTCGATCATCCGGGGAGGCCCTGCTCTCGATCCCACCAGCATCGCAGGCGCGGTTGGTGGGGACGAGAGAGAGGGCCTTTTCGGTGGTGGCCCCTCGACTCTGGAACTCACTCCCTAAAGACATCAGACAGGCCCCAACCTTGGCAGTCTTTAGGAGGAGCTTGAAGACGTGGTTGTTCCAGTGTGCCTTCCCAGAATAATGATCCCATAGCACTTTGTCCTCCAAAGCACTTTACACTTTTTAGATCTGCTCGTATGCCCTTCCACAAACGCCACTATCACCTTTCATCCATGTCCCAGCATTATTTCCATTTTAACTTTACATTTGGCCTTCCCACTGTTTTTAATTGCGTGTTGTCTTATTGATAATGTTGTATATTTTATTGTCTATGTTTTTATTTTAATTGCTTGTACTGTTGTTGTTTTGCTTGTATTGTTGTATTTGGCCTCGGCCTCATGTAAGCCGCACCGAGTCCCTTGGGGAGATGTTAGCAGGGTACAAATAAAGTGTTGTTGTTGTTATTATTATTATTATTGTTAGTTTTCCTCCATAGTCTGGGAATCTGTTTGTGTGCCAAGCATTGATTGTAAAATTTCAAAAGCCAGTTGTCAGCTTTGGGGCCCAAGTGTTTGATTTGCTCCATCATTAAGTCATCTAGGCCAGGTGCTTTACCAGTTTTACATCGCTTAACACAGTGTTTCTCAACCTGGGGGTCGGGACCCCTGAGGGGGTCATGAGGGGGTGTCAGAGGGGTCACCAAAGACCATCAGAAAACACATATTTCTAATGGTTTTTGGAACACAGTGCTCTCTGGAGGTAGGTGAACTACATCTCCCCTAAATCACTGTTGATTCCTCCCAAATCCCGCCAGTATTTTCTACTGGTCATGGGGGCTCTGTGTGGGAAGTTAGGCCCAACTATCGTTAGTTGGGTTCAAGGGGCTCTTTGATTGTAGGTGAACTATAAATCCCAGCAGCAACAACTCCCAAATGTCAAGGCCTATTTTTCCCAAACTCCACCAGTGTTTGCAGGTGGGCATATTTATTTATTATTTGGTTTACTTCTACCCCGCCCTTCTGACCCCGAAGGGGACTCATATTGAGTGTTTGTGCCGAGTTTGTTTCAGATTTGTCATTGTTTGAGTGGATGTAGGTGAACTACAACTCTAAAACTCAAGGTCAATGCCCACCAAAACTCTGTGTGCCATATGGTTCAATTCCGTCATTGGTGGAGTTCAGAATGCTCTTTGATTGTAGGTGAACTATAAATCCCAGGAACTACAACTCCCAGATGACAAAATCAATTTGCCCTCAACCCCACAAGTATTCAAATTTGGGCGTATTGGGTATTTGTGCCAAATTTGGTCCAGTGAATGAAAATACATCCGGCATATCAGATATTTACATTACGATTCATAACAGTAGCAAAATTGCAGATATGAAGTCACAATGAAAATAATTTTATGGTTGGGGGTCACCACAACATGAAGAACTGTACTAAGGGGCCGTGGCATTAGGAAGGTTGAGAACCACTGGCTTAACAGCTTGTCTGTGTTCTTTCAAGTTATTGAAGATGTCAACTAGTGGGTTGAATGTGATGCTATGCATATTAAAGAGCAGGAAGCTATGTGAATTTCAAGATCTCATCATGTCTGCTTGCAGAAACATGTTCTTTAAGCATTCTTTTTACAGAAAAATGGAGGAGGGTGGAAGAAAGCCCACAGGTTATTTTAGAGACAGAGTTTTACTTTTTCCTCCAATCATGAAAGAAAATTAATTCTTGATTTTTGTTTTAATAGTTCCCCACCAAATGATATGACTGAAGAGCAACCGTTCTCGGCTTGCAATGAAAATCCAAATGGAGCGGTAAGAAGACGGCAAAATTCAAGTCAAGGTTCTCGGAGCAGTGATTCTTCTAGGACATCTAGAAAAAGCTTCAGATTAGATTATAGGTTGGAGGAAGATGTGACAAAATCAAAGAAGGGCAAAGATGGAAGGTTTGTCAACCCCTGGCCAACATGGAAGGCCCCATCTTTCCCAAACATTTTGAAGTGGGCTCTTACAGAAAAGGACAACAGCAAGATCCCATCTTCAAAGCAGGTAATAGTTGCATGTACCTAAAACCCTCAAGGTTACTTCATGTGTGACATTTTTCATGTTTTTTTCATAGTATCCCCCCCCCCCCCCCCCAACAATCTGAGAGACTTTGAGCTGGCCCTTTTAAAAAGTTTGAGGACCCCTGACTTAAGTCACAGAGATGTCTGTCAATATGACCTCACAACCTCTGAGGATGCCTGACATAGATGCAGGTGAAACTTCAGGAGATAATGCTTCTAGAACATGGCAATACAGCCCGAAAAACCTACAACAACTCTGTCAATATGATGTTTTTGAGTTTACATTCTGCTTATGTTGATTGGTTTTGGAGACAATAATAGTCTACAGTCAAAGGTTTTGCAATCAAGGTGATGCCAGAAAAAAGAGAAATTATTATTATTATTATTATTATTATTATTATGAAACACAACAAGATGAGTCCACAGCAGACACTCTGCTGGCTGTTGTATTGGATCACACGTCGGACACTTCCCAAGTGTCTAGGACTGTGTGATGTATCGCTGAATAATGCGTGCAGATCCCAGTAAGGTGGCCTTTTGCAGATGGCAGATGGTAATCTTGTCAGCGCCAATTGTGTTTAAGTGGAGGCCAAGGTCTTTAGGCACTGCACCCAGTGTGCCAATCACCACTGGGACCACCTTTCCTGGCTTTGCAGTTGGATCTTTAAATCCTCATATCGTGTCAGCTTTTCCAGTTGTTTCTCTTCAATCCTGCTGTCACCTGGGATTGCAACATCGACAATCCATACTTTGTTTTTTAACATGATTGTGAGGTCAGGAGTATTATGCTCCAAAACTCTGTCTGTCTGAATCCAGAAGTCCCAGAGGAGTTTGGCGTGTTCATTCTCTGTAACTTTTTCCGGCTTGTGATCCCACCAGTTCTTTGTCGCAGGCAGATGGTATTTGTGGCACAAGTTCCAATGAATCATCTGAGCAACGGTGTTATGCCTCTGCTTGTAGTCTGTCTGCAGCTTTTTTGCAGCAGCTGAGGATGTGATCTATTGTTTCATCTGCTTCCTTGCAGAGTCTACATTGGGATCTGTTGTCGAGTTTTCAATTCTGGCTTTGATGGCATTGGTTCGAATGGCTTGTTCTTGGGCTGCCAGAATCAGGCCCTCTGTCTCATTTTTCAAAGTTCCATTTGTGAGCCACATCCATGTTTTTCTTTGTCAATTTGGCTCTCAATTTTTCCAGGAACTGTCCATGGAGAGCCTTCTTTTGCCAGTTTTCTATTATTATTATTATTATTATTATTATTATTATTATTATTGCCTTCAATGTTGGTTCCCTCAATGTTGGCCTTTCACATAATCACATTATTATTATTATTATTATTATTATTATTATTATTATTATTATTATTATTTGCTATTAGGGATGTGGAGAGATGGATGCATTCTCTCCCCTCTGTTGTTTAACATCTATATGCGACCACTTGCTCAGCTGGTTCGAGGTTTTGGGCTTGAGTGTTATCAGTACGCCAATGACACTCAGCTGGTGCTGAAGATGGAAGGCCGACCGGACTCTGTACCCGATTGTTTCCATCAGTGCCTCAAGGCCATTACTGGATGGCTGCGTGCCAGCAGGTTGAGGGTGAATCCAGCAAAGACGGAGATCCTATGGCTGGGTTGACCGGGCAGTGGGGATATCCAGCTGCCTATCCTGGATGGCGAGGCGCTACGCCCGTCATCATTGGTAAAGAGTCTGGGAGTCCTTTTGGACCCTCTTCTGACGACGGAGGCTCAGGTCTCCGCCGTTAGCAGAACCGCTTTTTTTCATCTGCGGCAGGCTAGACGGCTGGCCCCCTACCTGTCCAGGGACGACCTAGCTACACTGATCCAGGCTACGGTCATCTCAAGACTGGACTACTGTAATGCCCTCTACATTGGTCTTCCTCTGTTGGTGATCCGGAAGCTCAAGTTGGTACAAAATGCAGCTGCTCGGCTTCTTGCGGGAATTCCGATGAGATGCCACATAACACCAATCTTACTACAGCTGCATTGGTTACCAATTGAGCACCGGATCACTTTCAAAGTGATGGTACTCACCTTTAAGGCCTTGCATGGTCTGGGGCCGATGTACCTGAGGGACCGCCTCACCCCCTACCAACCCCAGAGATCCCTCCGTTCTGAGGACCAAGATCTATTGGAAATTCCCAGTGTCAAGACCTTGCGTCTAACAGCAACCAGACGCAGAGCCTTCACAGCAGTGGCACCATCACTCTGGAATACTCTGCCACCTGAAGTCCGTGCCTTGCGGGACTTACCAGCTTTCCGCAGGGCATGTAAGACATACCTGTTTCGACAGGCCTTTGATTTTTGATATTGCTGTTTTTAAATTGTTTTAAATTGTTTTTAAATTGTGTTAGATTTTAGCCATTCTTGTAAGCCGCTCCGAGCCCCAGGGGAGTGGCGGCATATAAGTTCGAATAATAAATAAATAAATAAATAAATAAATACTGATAGGTAGTGCAAGAACTCCTTTTCATCTTCTCCCAGGATCCTTGGTACATTGTTTTCAGAGTGTGCGTGCCCATGGAAGAAGATGGTGAGCACAGTATTATAATCAATAGATATGCACAATAAAAGCTGGACACTTCACTGGAATAATGATACTTTTTGGGGAGAAATACCAGCAGCTTCATTGCTCCATTCAGTGCAAACAGGCATCACGCAGTAACTTCCAAAATTGTAATTAAGCCATTTTCCTCCCTGTAGTCAGCCTTTCTTCTCTTCCAGTCCTCTAATTTGAAACTGGTTCTCCCTACCAGGCTTTTGCTAGCCAAGATAGTTTAAATAGTGTCCGTATTTTCTGTTGTCAGCTGTCTCAGTGTGCAATCCACTGTTGGTGTTGACTTTGAAATACAAGTCATTCTTCCGGCACTCTTGCTGTTTTGGTTCTTGTCCTGCTGGCATACTTCTTCCAGCTTGCTGAGCCATGGTAGAATAAAGCTGTTATAAGATTCACTGCCTTTGTTGTTTGTTTCTGGGTTTCTTTTCAAAGGATTTACAATGCAACGTGCTGCTTTCAAGGCTGTCTGACTTAATTAATGCTGCCTGCCTCTTTGGGAAAAGGGTGTTCTGGTTTGATCTTCTGCATCTAGAAAGAAGAATTCTTTGAATATTTCATGAAAGAAACTTACAAAGGAAAAGTTGTCATAATAACAATAGGGAAATGTGTATGTATAAGAGCTTAAAATGGCTTCTGAATCCCTTAGGCTTATTGTACTGCGTTTGAAACAAAATCATTAATTTTTTTATTTCCTAGAAATAGAAAGATTTGACAATGCCTTTCTGAATAATAAAATCTGTTCAGCATTTTAACAAAGCGTAGACAGTTTGGCAGCTAATTACATTAAACGAGATGCACCATTTGGCCCATGCAAATGTCGAAGTTTTTTTTATTATTCATATTTCATAATTTTGTTTCATTCTCCTCTGATCTCTTTAGTCTGGAATTGGAAAATGAATGCATTAATGTGCCAGAGTGGCCAGCTGTGAGGATAAAACAGTCCACGTTTGAAAGATGTAATAAATGCTACCTTTCAGAGCTGTCAGTTGAAAATAAAAGTTCCCTGAATTATACATTTATTTTCATTTGCTTCCAAATATATATATACGAGGGTTATTTTTTAAGTAAGGTCCGTTTTGTTGTAGACACTAGTAGTTCGCGCGCATACCGCAACGAGCGCGTGCATCGTGTACCGGCATGCCTTTGGAACAACTGTGCTCAGTTTCCGCTCTGTAGCTAACCTGTACGGTTCTGTTCTGTGCTTTAAAAATGTTTAAGACTATCAACTCATCCTCCGCATGTGAGGTTCGCTCAGTGATACGGTTTTTGTCAGCAAGGAACCTGCCTGCTGAAGAAATTCATCGACAGATTTGTGAAGTGTACAGTGATACTGTTATGAGTGCGTAAGTGGGTACGACAATTCAAAGATGGCCGTGACAATGTCCATGATGAGGACCGCTCCGGTCGCCCTTCAACGACGTGAAAACGGCAGTGAATTCTTGGTTATCGGAGCAGGCGGCAAGTTTTTATGAAGAGGGTATTTTAAAATTGGTTCAGAGGTATGATAAGTGTTTGAACAAACTTGGCAACTATGTCGAAAAATAGAGTGAAGTATGTACTTTCTGAAAATAAATTTACTTTTTTGAAATAAACTTTCGTTGTGTACTTATGTTCAAATGGACCTTACTTAAAAATACCCCTCGTATATTTAGTGTTGCTTCTGCAGCTGTATTTCTAAGACCACCAGTGTCAAGTTAATGACTCCAGAAATTAATTGGCATTCTTTATTATGAGATGAGCCAAGAGGGGAAAAAATAGGGAAAGATGATGGAGGTGCTGTTGTAGCTTGGTCAGAGTGTTCAGAGTATATAACATTGACCCCCATCTGTATCTAAGTATATTGCTTTATTTATTTATTTATTTATTTACGTAATTTGTACCCTCTCCTATCTCGACCTCCGCAGAGGGACTCCGGGCATATATTAGTAAATAGATAAGGGGAGTAACTGAATTGTTTATTGCTTAATATCTAAGATTGCATTCTTCCTATTAATGATATATCACTACATTCATCTGTTGACTATTGATGATAAATCACTACATTCATCTATGCAAAAGTTTAACTTTTAATAACTAAGCAGTTAATGTCCACAGAATAGGCTTATCCTTTTAATACTGGAGTCTCTACCAGCTAAACATTTCAACTAGTTTGGAGCTGACTGATTTATGTGCTGAACTACTTACGCTAGTGGTTCCATGTCTTCCACTTCTTCTTTTAGTGCTTGCTTTACGTTTCTTATTTGGTTTTGCTGTGGTGTCACAGGGAGCCTCTTCTTGTTATAAGTTGACCCACTACTGTATATGGTTTTAAGCTTAAAACAAAACAAAAAAATCGTCTTGTGACAGATAGTAGGTGCACTGCCATTTATTTACTGCACTTAGTGACTTGCTGAATGAATCTCAATAGCATTTAAACACTAGCCGTCTCCTGCCACGCGTTGCTGTGGCCCACATGGGGGTTCTGTGTGGGAGGTTTGGCCCAGTTCTATCGTTGGTGGGGTTCAGAATACTCTGAGATTGTAGGTGAACTATAAATCCCAGAAACTACAACTCCCAAATGACAAAATCAATTTTTTTGGAGTGAAGGACATACATTGGGTTGTTAGGTGTCTTGTGTCCAAATTTGGTGCCAATTGCCCCAGTGGTTTTTGAGTTCTGTGAATAGCACAAACGAACATTACCTTTTTATTTATATAGGTTAAAACATTTTGGTCCAGATTAGTTAAGCATCTTTTCAGATGAAGACACTTCCAATTTTAGTATGATCTGCTCTCTAAATTTGTCCTGTTGTTTTTTTGTCTTTTGCTAGGATCTTGACAAAGAGCTTCCAGTATTGAAACCTTACTTTGTCGAAAATCCTGAACTAATTGGAAAAACAGGATCTGGCATGCGCGTAACATGGCTTGGACATGCTTCAGTGATGGTGGAGATGGATGAACTTGTATTTCTTACTGATCCCATCTTCAGCCAGCGGGCTTCTCCAGTACAGTTTGGGGGCCCAAAGCGTTTCCGAGGGCCGCCTTGTACAGTGGATCAGCTCCCCAAGATAGATGCAGTGATGATCAGCCACAACCATTATGACCACCTGGACTACCACAGTGTTGTGAATTTAAACAACCGCTTTGGCAGTGACCTGAGATGGTTTGTTCCGCTGGGTCTTTTAGACTGGATGCAGAAATGTGGCTGTGAGAATGTAATTGAATTGGACTGGTGGGGAGAAAACTGTGTCCCTGGCCATGATGCCGTTACTTTCGTCTTCACTCCTGCTCAACACTGGTCCAAGAGGACTGCAATGGACGACAACAGATCTCTCTGGGGGAGTTGGTCTGTCTTGGGACCTTGGAATAGATTTTTCTTTGCTGGAGACACTGGCTATTGTGTTGCTTTTGAGGAGATAGGGAAGCGGTTTGGACCTTTTGATCTGGCAGCTATTCCCATTGGAGCATATGAACCAAGGTATGTAAGCTTGAGCCAACATTTTTCAGCCTCAGACTGTGAAATGACTACTGTTTTGATGACACTAACAATGTTTTGCTTCCACATAACAGAGAATTGTATGTCCCTTATTATGAGTGCTCAGGATCATCTTAGAATCATAGAATCAAAGAGTTGGAAGAGACCTCATGGGCATCCAGTCCAACCCCCTGCCAAGAAGCAGGAATATTGCATTCAAATCACCCCTGACAGATGGCCATCCAGCCATCTTACTTAGGAGATTCCTCGTTGTCCGAGTAGGATTGTCTTCCAAGATTGGTGTACTGGGGGTGGGTACGTAGGTGACTGTGGAGCCCTATTTTTGATCTGCATGTTCTCTCGCAGTGAGGGCATTGGTTTCCAGACGGAAGGCGGTTCCGGCCGGGGTTGGCTTGACGCGCCTTCCTCTTGGCACATTTCTCTCTTTCGCCCTCCATTTGTGCCTCTTCAACAGCACTGCTGGTCACAGCTGACCTCCAGCTGGAGTTCAAGGGCCAGGGCTTCCCAGTTCTCAGTGTCTATGCCAGAGTTTTTAAGGTTGGCTTTGAGCCCATCTTTAATCTTTTTTCCTGCCCACCAACATTCCATTTTCCATTCTTGAGTTCGGAGTAGAGCAACTGCTTTGGGAGACGGTGGGCAGGCAAGAGTTGATGGCGAGGACCATCACTTCAGTGCTGGTGGTCTTTGCTTCTTCCAGCACACTGACATTTGTCCGCTTGTCTTCCCAAGAGATTTGCAAGGTTTTTCGGAGCCAGCTCTGATGGAATCGTTCCAGGAGTTGCATGTAATGTCTGTAGACTGTCTACGTCTCGCAGGGAGGACAATAGCTTTATAAACAAGCACCTTGGTATCCCTATGGATGTCCCGGTCCTCAAACACTCTCTGCTTCATTCGGAAAAATAATGCACTCGCAGAGCTCAGGCGATGTTGAATTTCAGTGTCAGTGTTGATTTTTGTGGTGGCTGCCAAGGTAGCGGAAATGGTCAACATTTTCTAATGTTACACCAATAGCTTTATAAACAAGCACCCTGGTATCCCTATATACATTCATCAGGAAGAGGGGGATCTAGGAACACACGAATAGGTGGAAGTTGACTGAGACTAGACAACACAGCAACTGGAAATTAGACAAGAGAAGATATACAGATTGCTAAGCTATTATTAGCAGTATGTCAGAAGGAAATAGGAAAAGAAATGCTTGTGTGAAAAAGCGATGAGAAGGGCAATAAAAATAATAAATTTGTTGCTCTGCTCTGAAATTTCATAATAAGGTACTGAAATTTTCAGGGCAAATTTCATAATAAGTTATTGAAATGTTCATTTTATTTTTGGTAGGTGGTTTATGAAGTACCAACATGTGGATCCTGAAGAAGCTGTAAGGATTCACATTGATGTTCAAACAAAGAAATCTGTTGGAGTTCACTGGGGGACCTTTGCTTTAGCAAATGAGGTGAGAACAGATGCATCTGTGGACCTTCTGTTTAAAGTTTTCCATAGTGCCAATCCCTGATAGCAAAACATACTTTTGTCCAAGTTAAAATAGGAGGCCGTTTCACTTTCAGCCCTGTTTATTTATAGTTTATAACAGGGTGGGAGCCAATGATGAGTCAGGGGCCTGATTTTCTGTCCATGTAGAGCAACAGAGATGGTTAAATAAGTCCCACAAAAATATGAAAGGCATGATTTTAAATGCAATAAAGTGTATTACTGATTGATTCCATGTATAAACAACATATAGTCCAGGGCTAACAGCATGGAAAAATCCTTTACTCCCAAGAAGCACACTAGTTAAACCACTTTGAGTCCCCCTTGGAGTGAGAAAAGATGTATACAAATACTGTAAATAAATAATAGTTGAAATGCATTCACAAAATTGCCACTTTCAAGGATGTCGTTCTTTCTTTTGTCTTATTGATGCTTGTATTCTAGACAAGAAGCCTGTAGGACCAACTGTGGCCTGGTCCATTTAATCCGAATAACACGAATAACAATTTTCAACTCCGTGTTCTTTGGTTTCAATTGATCTTGGAATGAGAAGGTCACATCTGTAGTTTTTGGTGAAGAATCTCAAAAGCACACGACATCCTTCATCACATAGCCCAAATTTTGATCTACATCTGTGAAATTAAAGCATTCAGTTAATATGCATGTAAATCATTCCCCCCCCGCCCAAACAAAATGTAAGTTATCCAAAACTGACATTGTTTATTTTTTCCACAGTACTACTTGGATCCTCCAGCTAAACTGAAGGAAGCTCTTGAGAAATACGGATTGAAAACTGAAGATTTCTTTGTCCTGAACCATGGAGAATCGCGAGACCTCAATATAAATGACGATGGATTTGAATAAAATTACAAAAATCCGATTTCTTAATGACTTCCACCTGAAGAAACAGTTGGAATTGATACCTTTTTTGTAAAAATTTAAACAAGATTTTTAAAATTCAGATATTTTGTTTAGTTATCCAGTGGTCCCACCTAAACCTTTGCATACTAGCCTTCTAAAATGATGTTTGTAATGGATGAAATTACAGTGGTGGTATTAACTTAGTGCAGAGGATTACATTGCCTGTGAATTGAAATTATAATACTTACAAGTTGTTGATTCTTTTCCTCTCTACAGAAATGCCACTATAAATCACCTGTTAGGACTTCGCTACTATATTTCCCTGCATAATAGTTGCACTTTCCCTTTTTTCATTGAAAAAATAGAGGTGCAACTATGACGCGGTGAAAAACAGGTGTGCAGCTACAGGGTTTCCTTTGGCTCAAAGCTAAAGGAAGTCTCGTGGCTGGCTGAAAGGGGTGCCACTATTGGTATTAACTTAGTGCAGAGGATTACATTGCCTGTGAATTGAAATATCATACTTACAAGTTGTTGATTCTTTTCCTCTCTACAGAAATGCCACTATAAATCACCTGTTAGGACTTCACTACTATATTTCTCTGCATAATAGTTGCACTTTGCCTTTTTTCATTGAAAAAATAGAGATGCAACTATTACGTGGTGAAAAATAGGTGTGCAGCTACAGGGTTTCCTTTGGCTCACAGCTAAAGGAAGTCTCGTGGCTGCAAGGGGTGCCACTATTATGCAAGGAACAGCAAGAAACCATTTTGGGACCCCCAAAATCAGGGTGCAACATATGCAGTGGTGACTATTATGCGATGAAATATAGTACCTTAGAAACTGTCTTAGACATTTAGTGCCAATCCCCTATCTGATCTAAAAAGTGGCTTTCTCTTTCAACAATGGAGAAGTTACTGTGAAAAGAGGTACTGCATTCCCCTTCTGTGGCCCCCGGGCAGCTGCCGAAGGTCCTGGCCCTGCTGCTGGGCTTCTCCACAATGGCCGCCATGCTTGTTCATGCAGACTTTGTACCTACCAACAAGGATGCTGTAGGCTCCTGACAGAAAAGGTGATTTGTATATACAGATTGGCTCCTGCATGCACTTGAATTCAGGCCTGCTGCAGCAGATGAACACAATGTCTCACAAAAACAGGCTGGTTTGCATGGGGAGATATATGGCTGTGCGTTTTGCCTCATACGCACTTTTATCCACTCCTCACTGACTGCATTTAAGACACCACTTAATGCCTGCGGAGTGCAGGTTGAAGCCACAGTAGTCCACTCTCTTTCACTAATCATCATCAGGAGCACACATACATCCATGGTGTTGTGACATTAGCCAACAGGACTCGCACTTACTTCCTACTAAACATGAGTATTCATAGCAGGCTATTGGGTGGCAGTCTTGTATATGAATTAATAGCACTTAATTGGAAGCAGATGCCACAGAAATCTGAGTATCTAGGATTGGAACTTCCATTTATGATGCAAATAGTACCACAGTGGCAGCCAATCAGAAGGCTGCCACATACACCTCCTGACGCATACAAACACTGACTTATATTCTATAGATATAAAGCAGGTACACAATCATGTTTATTCAGAAAGGAAGCCCACATTAAGGAGGTTAGTGTTTAAATGTGCTTAGGACTACACATTTAGCCGTGGGCATTCAACAAACAACAGGTCATCGTCATTTTTATTTTATTTTGTACTGGCCTGCAGTTTAAAAGCCTTTCAATATTAAATAGCCCCAGGTATGATAATGACACTACCTGGTGCGAGTTTTGTGTTTTACAATCAATATAGCAGTCACATTAAAGTAAATATGGAACATTACAGCCTTTGTGTATTTTAATCCATTATATCCCTTGAGTAGATTATTCACCCAGAGGGTGTATTCTGTGCCTTCATAGAAGTTGAAATATAGGATTTTTGAGAAGGAGTCTTCCAACACAACAGTTGCTAAAGCACATTTTAAACAAAATACTGGTTTTACTAGACGTGTACATTTTCATTTGCAAATGTAAGAGCCAAGATCGGAATTAATTCAATGAAATGTGCCTTTTAAAAGAGTTTAACTACTAAAAATGCCTATTTATTTTGCTGCTGGCCAGAATATCTGTACTCTGCATTATGCTGTCACTGTGAAATTACTCTTTCTCATGGCCTGAGCACTTCTGTTGTTTGAAAATCTGTTTGCCAAGTAGTTACCACAAATGAAATAATCAGTTTGTTGTCCTCTGAAAGTGTTTATTCAGCTTCTTTTTCCCTCCGCTTCTTCACTGCACTCACTCAGATTCTAGAAAAATTGTTTTGGTGGAATGATTTGAAAATGTGTACAGATTGCTTATAGAATGAAAGCATGATATGATTATGAATTTGTTCAGCGTTGTAAATCATGGCCAATTATATCTGTATCAAACTGCTCTACTGATTTACAGAATAAAGAATTCTTTGTTCAAATATTTTGTTACAGGGTCATTTTGTTGCATGCCACCTGCTCTGAACAATTGTATACATTAGGATTACAAAACTACTTAAAATTTCTTCTGGTCATTTCAATGTTGTGAATATATTTAAGACAGTCTTTCCTTTCCATAACTTCAAATGTTTGTTTGTGGCTTGCAGCATTCAGCTCTTTAAATAAAAAAGGGTATTCTACTGAAATGGTGGTTTTGCCTCATCACTACATCAATATTTCCACCAGGAGTTTTTTATCTGCAAAACCTCTACTGCATTTTATTCTAAACATCACAGCAGTTTTGTGTTTCCACAAACAGTTGTACAGTACTGTTTGTGACAAGAGGGATCCTCTCACTTCTGCAGGAGTCTACCGTATACCATGTGGACAAGTCTACACATAGAATAGAATCATAGGGTTGGAAGAGACCTCATGGGCCATCCAGTCCAACCCCCTGCCAAGAAGCAAAATATTGCATTCAAAGCACCCCTGACAAATGGCCATCCAGCCTCTGCTTAAAAGCTTCCAAAGAAGGAGCCTCCACCACACTCCGGGGCAGAGAGTTCCACTACTGAACGGCTCTCACAGTCAGGAAGTTCTTCCTAATGTTCAGATGGAATCTCCTCTCTTGTAGTTTGAAGCCATTGTTCCGCGTCCTAGTCTCCAAGGAAGCAGAAAACAAGCTTGCTCCCTCCTCCCTGTGGCTTCCTCTCACATATTTATACATGGCTATCATATCTCCTCTCAGCCTTCTCTTCTTCAGGCTAAACATGCCCAGCTCCTTAAGCCGCTCCTCATAGGGCTTGTTCTCCAGACCCTTCATCATTTTAGTCGCCCTCCTCTGGACACATTCCAGCTTGTCAACATTTCTCTTGAATTGTGGTGCCCAGAATTGGACACAATATTCCAGGTAAGGTCTAACCAAAGTGGAATAGAGGGGTAGCATGACTTCCCTAGATCTAGACACTATGCTCCTATTGATGCAGGCCAAAATCCCATTGGCTTTTTTTGCCGCCACATCACATGGTTGGCTCATGTTTAACTTGTTGTCCAACAATATGATGTGGCGGCAAAAAAGCCAATGGGATGTTGGCCTGCATCAATAGGAGCATAGTGTCTACACAGGGACCACCAAACGCAGCTTCGCCCAAACACAAGTCAAGGAACATGAAAGGCACTGCAGACTAATTCAGCCAGAGAAGTCAGCCATAGCAGAGCACCTGATAAACCAACCTGGACACAGCATATTATTTGAGGACACAGAAATGCTGGACCACTTTCACAACCACCATGTCTGACTACACAGAGAAGCCATTGAAATCCATAAGCATGGGGACAACTTCAACAGAAAGGAGGAAACCATGAAAATGAACAAAATCTGGCTACCTGTATTAAAAAACTCTAAAATTAAAACAGCAAAACAACACCCAAACACAGGGAAACTCCAGAGAGGAAACAATTAGGGACAGCTAATCATCTCTCAACAAAAGATTCCCCCAGGCACTAATAAGCCACACTAAAAAACTGCCAGGCCATCAAAGGCTAATCAAGGTGGTCAGTTGAAGCATTCACACCTAGCTCCAGCAGACAAGAGTTCTTTGTCCCACCCACAGATATATAAACCCAATTTTCCTAGTTCCAACAGACCTCACAACCTCTGAGGATGCTTGCCATAGAAGCAGGCGAAACATCAGGAGATAATTACTCTAGAACAGGGGTCCTCAAACTTTTTGAACAGAGGGCTGGGTCACAGTCCCTCAAACTGTTGGAGGGACGGATTATAATTTGAAAAAATAAATGAATTCCTATGCACAGTGCACATATCTTATTTGCAGTGCAAAAAAACCACACTTAAAATACAAACTTGGGAGGCGGCGGGCGAAGGGGTCCCAAAGATGCTTCGCTTGCCGCCTCCCCCTCTTCTCCTGACTTCGGGATGAGGCCAGGCCTCATCCCAAAGGCAGGAGAAGAGCAGGCTGGGCCCAGGGAGGCGGCGGGCAAAGCGGCCCTAAAGCCGCTTCGCCCGCCGCCTCTCACCCTTCTCCACACCCTCAGGTAAATGCCCTCGGGGGGTGGGCGGGTCCAGCCCGCGGGCCGTAGTTTGAGGACCCCTACTCTAGAACATGGCCATATAGCCCGAAAAACCTACAACAACCCAGTTGTACAGTACAATTGTTCCTCAACTTTTGTGATATGATTACTCAGATTTAAAGTGTTCTCTGTAGGAATCTCTAATTTGGCTCTATGGTCAACTTCCATCAAAAGTTGATCACAGACTGATGCTAGAGGACTAAAAAGATTTGTAGGGAATCTTTGTTTTTCACTTTCATAGGGATCTGCTACACTTCCTTCAGCTATATAAATCTTGAATGATGAATCGGGGAATTCTGCTATAGCTGCAACATCAGATTTGGTGCACCAAACATTACAGCATCTTTTAATATTCTCATATCTATCTGCCAGCTACTGAATGATAAAATATATACTTTTATGAACCATGACATCTTCAGGAAGGACTTTTAACAAACATAGTCGCCTCCCAGCTCTAGGGATTTCTAGATGACATCAATTACCTGGACCAGTCACAATCTGGCTTCAGGCCTGGCCACGGCACTGAGACGGCTTTGGTCGCCTTGGTGGATGACCTCCGCAGGGAACTGGACGGGGGAGTGTGACCCTGTTGGTTCTCTTGGACATCTCAGTGGCTTTCGATACCATCGATCATGGTATCCTTCTGGGACAACTCTCTGGGATGAGCCTCGGGGGCACCGTTTTGTCGTGGCTCCGGTCCTTCCTGGAGGGTCGATCCCAGATGGTGAAGCTGGGAGACGCCTGCTCGGACCCCTGGCCTTTGACCTGTGGGGTCGCGCAAGGCTCTATTCTGTCTCCCATGCTTTTTAACATCTACATGAAACCGCTGGGAGAGGTCATCCGGAGTTTTGGAGTTGGTTGCCATCTCTATGCATAACTCTATGCCATCTCTATGCATAACTCCAAGGAAGCCCCTCGGGTGCAGGACGAGTGCCTGGCCACTGTGGCTGTATGGATGAGGATGGACAAGCTGAAGATTAATCCCGACAAGACAGAGGTCCTTCTGGTCGATTGTAAACCGGATCGGGGTATAGGGTGGCAACCTGTGCTGGATGGGGTTACATTGCCCCTGAAGTCACAGGTCTGCAGTTTAGGGGTCCTCCTGGACTCATCACTTACGCTTGAGGCTCAGGCGTCGGCTGGGAGGGCTTTTGCACAATTGAGACTCGTGCGCCAACTGCGACCGTACCTCGTGAAGGCTGATCTGGCCGGGGTGGTCCATGCCTTGGTCACCTCCAGATTGGACTACTGTAATGCGCTCTACGTGGGGCTGCCTGTTGGGGTTCAGCCTGAGTTTGAACTTGAACCTGATTCTCTGTTTGTTCCTCCTGATGCTAATGAAAATATATTTACTGATGCTAGTGGAAATGTACCTTTTGATGCCAATGCTCCTGAAATTAGTGAGGAAGAAACTGCTGTAGGTTTGGAAAATGCCAATGTTCCTGAAATTAGTGAGGAAGGAACTTCTGTAGATTTGGAAAATGAAAGTACCAGTGTTAATGAGAATGTTGCAGAGGGAGACCTTGAACTTTCCCTCCCTTCTGCACCTGTTAACTGTAATGACAACAGAAGGAGCCAAATTTGGGGAGACAGAAATAAAACACTCAGTTTGCATCGATCCTCCCGAATTCAAGAATTAAAAACATTGGCTTCAAAACAGAAGGGCGGTTCACGGAACCGATTCTTGAGTTTTAATTGCAATACGCCAGGCTGATTCCCTCAGTTCAGGCATCGTTTCAGAATTGATGAAGACCTTGGCAGTTCTCCCGGTTCCCTGGCCATAGTATGGAAAGATTTCTAGGATATCAAGTACGGTTAGTGGATTGCTAACAGATTCAAGTATTTCTCAGTGAGGCTTTTGGTTTTGCTTTGTCCATTTAAATTCATGTTTGCTGATTTTGCTGTGGCTTTTGACTTGCATTTTTCCTTTATTTTGTAACCATTTTTCTTCAATAAAAAAGGATTGTTTTTCACAGCCAAGTGTGGTGGATAGTTATCTTAGGCCTCATTCTCTACTCTGGATTGCAACACTGCCCTTGAAAATGGCCCGGAAATTCCAACTGGTCCAACAGGCGGCGGCCAGATTGTTAACTGGTGCTCCTGCACTTTACTAGAGATTTAAGATGGTCTACACACCGCACCTACCTCTAAAAACCTATACATTTCACCTGTCATGTCCAGCACTTTTTAAATTTTATTCATTACAGTTGGCCCGGCCTTAATTTTAAATGCATCGTGGTGTTATTGTTCCAATGTTTATTGTTACTGCTTTAATGTTTCTTGTTTTGCTTTATGAGTTTTATTGTTGTATTTGTTATGCTGTTGTTTTATTGAGGGCCTTGGCCTCTTGTAAGCCGCACCGAATCCTTCAGGAGATGTTAGCAGGGTATAAATAAAGTTAATAAATAATAAATAAATATTGACCATCATGGTTTTATTATTTTAGATGTAAAAATATGCCGTTAGAAAGTTTACATAAAGGAAGGCCTAAAGCAGGGGTCCTAAGACTGGCCTGTGGATCAGATCCAGCCTGTCAAGGTCTGGCCCTGCCCCTGTTGTGCTTTGCCCCACCACCGTCGCCCCCCATGGCACTCTCCCCCCACCGTGAAGGGAAGGAGGGGGAGAAAGGAGGGGGAGAAAGGAAGAACGAAAGATAGTGGGAAACAGGGAAAGAAGGAAAGAAAGAAAGAAATGTAGATTGGAAACAGAGGGAAGGAATTCAGAAAGCATGAGTAGTGGTTTGAACTTTGGACAGTGGCTCTGAGCCCACTGGATGACTTTAGGCCAGTTCCACTCTCTCAGCCTCAGAGGAAGACAAAAGTAAATCCTCTTTGAATAAATCTTGACAAGCAAACTCTGTGATACGGTTGCCTTAAGGTTGTCTTCAGTTTGAAACAACTTAATGGCACACAACAACAGCAATCCTAATTAACGTGACCATTAACGTGTCAGTCATAAGCAGGCCCACACTTCCCACTGAAATATTGGTAAGTTTATGTTGGTTAAAATTGTTCTTCATTTTAAWCACCATATTGTTCTTTCGGGTTTTTTTGCAATACAAATAAGGTATGTGCAACATTTATAGGAATTTGTTCATATTTTTCTCTCCCCCCCCCCCCTCCGAGGGATCGTGAACTGGCTCAAAAAGTTTGAGGATCTCTGACCTAAACAATGGGACTGATTTAAAGTCCCAAACGTGTTTCAGTTTGCATATGCTTCCCATATCAGTGGTTGTGTGATGCAAGAAGGAAAGCACTTCACCATGGTGGACCACACCTTAGTTACGTCAAGATTAGACTACTGTAATGCACTTTACATAGGGCTGCCCTTGAAGATGGTTTGGAAACTACAGCTGGTACAGAGGTCGGTGGCCAGATTGTTAACCGGAGCAAGTTACAGGGAGTGGTCAATCCCTCTGTTTAAACATCTCCACTGGCTGCCGATAAGTTTCCGGTCCCAATTCAAGGTTCAGGTTATCACCTATAAAGCTCTAAATCAGTGGTTCTCAAGCTTCTTAATGCCATGACCCCTTAATACACTTCCTCATGTTATGGTGACCCCCCAACCATAAAATTATTTTTCTTGCTACTTCATAAGTGTCATTTTGCTGCTGTTGTGAATCGTAATGTAAATATCTGGTATGCAGGATGTACGTTCATTCACTGGACCAAATTTGGCACAAATACCCAATACGTCCAAATTTGAATACTGGTGGGGTTGGTGGGGGGATTGATTTTATCCCGTGGGAGTTGTAGTTGCTGGGATTTATAGTTCACCTACAATCAAAGAGCATTCTGAACTCCACTAATGATGAATGAACCAAACTTGGCACACAGAACTCCCATGACCAACAGAAAATACTGGAAGGGTTTGGTGGGCATTGACCTTGAGTTTGGGAGTTGTAGTTCACCTACATCCAGAGAGCACTGTGGACTCAAACAATGATAGATCTGGACCAAACTTGGCACGAATTCCCAGTATGCCCAAATGAGAACACTGGTGGAGTTTGGGGAAAACAGACCTTGACATTTGGGAGTTGTAGTTGCTGGGATTTATAGTTCACCTACCAACAAAGAGCATTCTGAACCCTACCAATGATTGAATTGGGCTAAACTTCCCACAAAGAACCCCCATGACCAACATAAAATACTGTTTTCTGATGGTTTTGGCGACCCCTCTGACACCCCCTTGCGACCCCTCCAGGGGTCCCGACCCCCAGGTTGAGAAACACTGCTCTAAATGGTTCAGGACCTGCCTATCTGCATGACTGCCTCCTCCCCTACGAGTCCACATGGTCCTTAAGATCTTCCGGGTATGCCCTTCTCTCGCTCCTGCCCCAGTCTCAGGCGCGGTTGGTGGGGACAAGGGAGAGGGCATTCTTGGTGGTGGCCCCCGTCTCTGGAACTCCCTCCCCAGGGAGATTAGGCTGGCACCCTCCCTAGTCACATTCTGTAAGGAATTAAAGATGTGGATGTTTCGTTGTGCCTTCGATTGATGACTCCTATGACAAACGATTGTACCGTGATCTGTTTTCACCATTTAATCTGTATTCCTATATTACATCGTTATTCATATATGTAAGTTAAACTGAGATGATCCTGATCCTGTTTAATTGCTCTGTTCTCATGATATCTCCTGTGCCATTTATGTTCCTATCCACCTTACTGAACTATCTACCCTTTAATCAATTTGTATGTTGGCCTTTCCCCCGCTCCAAAACTGGTTGGCTATTGCTTGATACTTGTTTATTACTGTTATGCTGTTTGTGTTATTTTAATTTGCAATTTGCTGTTGTCTTTGCTTTTAATCTGTATGTTGCCTGGGCTTGGCCCCATGTAAACTGCCCTGAGTCCCCTTGGGGAGATGGAGGTGGGGTAGAAAAATAAATTTCTTCATTCTAGGACTATTGTACCTTCAATTATAATGGGTAGGTGAGGCATGTATATCTGGAAGAGTTCCTACATGGAGACATAACTGTAACAATACATAAAAATACTCACCCTCCATAAAGGATTTTCAAGATTTGAAGAGAGGACTTGAACAGTATAATTGGTGATGTCAGCATTGCTGACTTATTAGTTTGGCAACTTGTTCTCTGACTTCCATATCATGGTGGTGGAATAAAGAAGCCAGTTTTTGAGCGCACAATGTAGAATCCCCCCACAGAACAGAAAAAACTGAATCTTCGTTGTACTCGTAATGAACAGTATTTTTGTCCTTTTTCATATGCTTTGCCAAGTTTGTGACGAACACCAACAGTCTGAGCAAAACATCTTCTTTTGTACAGCTATCAAACAGAGATAACAGAAAAGGTGCCTGGAAGATCAGAATGAAGAAGAAACAGCTGGTCAGAGTCATGAAAAAGTTACTTAAGTTGTATTTTCACTTATACTGTTCAAAAAAACAATCTTTTAAATTAGGAAGTATAATAGTACTTTCAGTGGGTTGCAATCCATGACTGTAGTTTATTTCTGTTGAATTAAATTGGTCAGTCTTAAAGATGCCACAGTACTAGTTTTTCTGTTGCTTTTGAAATACAAAAGCAGAGTAATTTTTTCGATAATGACACCCTTACATTTGCAATTTAGCAGCAGTGTTCTACATTGCATTGCCTTTATTGTTAGCCACTTTGGTATCTTTTTAGAGAGATAAAGCACAGTAGAAATGATGATAATAATAATAATAATAATAATAATAATAATAATAATAATTCCTTGACAAAATTGAAGGGAAAGTTGACGGGGAAAAGACCTGGTTATGGCTCACGAATGGAACCCTGAAGAAGGAGACCGAAGGCCTGATTCTTGCAGCCCAGGAGCAAGCCATCAGAACAAATGCCATTAAGGCCAGGATTGAAAAATCAGCCGATAACCCAAAATGCAGACTGTGCAAGGAAGTTGATGAAACCATGGACATATCCTCAGTTGTTGCAAGAAAATCGCACAGATGGACTACGAACAGAGGCACAACTCTGTGGCCCAGATGATTCACTGGAACTTATATCACAAGTACCACCTGCCAGCAGTAAAGAATTGGTGGGATCATAAACCCGCAAAGGTCATGGAAAATGAACATCCAAAAATACTGTGGGACTTTCGAATCCAGACTGACAAAGTTTTGGAACACTATACACCAGGCATCATGATTGTGGAAAAGAAAAAAGTCTGGATTATTGATATCATCATACCAGGTGACAGCCGCATTGAGGAAAAACAACAGGAAAAACTCAGCCATTATCAAGACCTCAAAATCTAACTGCAACGGCTTTGGCATAAACCAGTACAGGTGGTCCCAGTGGTCATTGACGCACTGGGTGCCGTGCCAAAAGATCTCAGCCGGCATTTGGAAACAATAAACATCAACAAAATCATGATCTGTCAACTGCAAAAGGCCACCTTACTTGGATCTGCACACATCATTTGAAAATACATCACACAGTCCTAGACGCTTGGGAAGTGTTCGACTTGTGATTTTCTGATACGAAATCCAGCATATAGATCTCGTTTGCTGTGACATACTATGCTTTTGTGTCAGTAAAATAATAATAATAATCTGTGATGCAAACTAAATAAAATGATTTGTAAAAAGAGCACTCATAAAAGTTGAAATTATATACTACCCACAACCCTTGAGAATTTGATGGTAGGATGTTTAGTGGGCCAAGTCCTAATACTATTGTTAACATTTAAAAACTTCAAACCACTCTACTGCTACTTTACAGATATAGAGGGAGTGTATTTAGTATCCAGGTGAGTAAATTTTATGAAAAGTTAATATTGTAAGGAGTCAAATCCTGAATGTATTTTTCTAAAGATTTGCTGGGGGGAAAAAATCTGTGTGCACACAGAATGCCTTGCATGATCACACTCATTTTTATCTTGGGCTCAATTATTTTCTGCTAGTATCTTAACATCCTTATGCTGGTCTTCACATTTGAGAAACCCTGCATTTTAGGCCATCTGGCCTCTCAATTTGGGCTTATTATAAGGTTATTATAAGAAAAATCTTGGGATGATTTTTTTTTACCTGAGCCTTAAGAAGATGTTCTGTCATAGCTGGGTTTGCTGACAAATTCACAAGCACTCTCAGAACGTGAACCTGTAACACAGGACTTTTTTTAATTATATGGAGTTAACACAGATGCAAATTAAAACACTGAAGTCCTGAATATAATAAAATTATAAAATATAAAAACAGTGAGTTGGATCAAAATCTGCATTAGGAAAGAATGCTACGAGTTGCAGTCCAATTTTACCTGTAGAGCTGCATACTTCTCACCTTGGTGCAAAAAGGGTATTTCTTAAAATAAAAACACTATGTAACACAATTTTTGTTCCTGGGTTACAAATATTTCCTAATTAGTCTTATCATAAAAACATGGAAAAAGTGTATTAAACAGCAAAAACTTTGTTTTTGTGGGACACCCTGCAGTACATTTTCTATAATTTTTCAATGAAAATATCATAGAGCCTCAACCAATTCAAATGGTTTGTGGCAGTCACAAAAACAAAGTTTCTGAATTATAACACCTACTTTCAAAATAAGAACTCCACAATTAAACACGGTGAATAACACTTTCAAGCCAGGAACAGAAAAAAAAATCTAATTTTATTACATAGTGTAATATTTCCACTAATAGAAGAAGGCCATTTATAGAATCACCCGTCTGGAGCAAAGGAAATAAAAGTACAACGCATCTTCCTTATTAATATTAGCAAGTGGCAGGCTAAAACCTGGAACCTCGATGAGAGGCTGAGACAAACTACCTCCTGGGCACACAGAAGAGTAAGCTCTGATAGGATAGCTGAATGCCTTTTCAATCAGCAATAAAATACAGCTGTCTTGCACTATTCTTTCTCTTCTGGAGTCCTGTTTTGTATCCAAACACTCATAATTTTTTCCAGAAATATATAGATCAACCTTGCATTCTTAAGGAGTATGATTCCCTGTTGTGTTTATTTGGGGTGAAGGTGAATCCCTACTACTCAAACTAAACTTAGAGTTTTAATTTCACACCTTAAATTACTTTCTGAAAACCGAGCCATTAAGTGCCACCTTGTGGTTCTGATATGTTACTGCTCTGAACTAAAGTCTCACGGATAACTCACAAGCAATTATGTAACACATTTGCAAATTTGACTTTTGCAGATTTGAGTATTCACAAATTTAATTACGATGTTCTCTCTACGCATCTCTAGGTTGCCCAATACAGCATCCTTCTGAATCTGACTATAGTCTCAAGCTGGATGACCTATTGATAAGACCTCTCTGGAATCTTTAGGTCTTGCAGTGAGATTCTATGGTCAGTTTCCAACAGAAGTTGACCACAGAGCCATTCTTAAGGACCTAAAAATTCCTAGAGATGTGTTCACTTTCATGGGGGTCCTAAGCCATATCTGACTATAATTTCAGGAGGGCTGACTGTACTTTCATGCTTTAGCTAAAGCACTTGTCATACCCTTTCTCATCTCATCTCTCCGACCATCTGGAGAGGCCCTGCTCACGATTCCACCTGTGTTGCAAGCGCGATTGGTGGGGGACGAGGGACAGGGCCTTCTTCGTGGTGGCCCCCCGACTCTGGAACTCTCTCCCCAAGGACATCAGACAAGCCCCAACATTGGCAGTCTTTAGGAAGAGCTTGAAGACGTGGTTGTTCCAGTGTGCCTTCCCAGAATAGGAAACTCCAAGCATCATGTCCCAAATGCACTTTATTAGAGATTTAAGATTGTCTGCACACCGCACCTATCTCCAAAAACCTATCCATTTCACCTGTCATGTCCAGCATTTTAAAATTTTTAATCATTACATTTGGCCCGGCCTTAGTTTTAAATGCGTCGTGGTGTTATTGTCTAATGTTTACTGCTAGTCTTTTAATGTTTATTGTTTTGTTTTATGAGTTTATGAGTTTATTTATTGTTGTATTTGTTATGCTGTTGTTTTATTGATGTGTTGGGCCTTGGCCTCTTGTAAGCCGCACCGAGTCCTTCGGGAGATGTTAGCGGGGTATAAATAAAGGATTATTATTATTATTATTATTATCTTTTTTATAATTTAATCCGTAGAAGATAAAGAAAATCAGGAGGGAAATCTACAGCATTTTCTGCTTTGAAGTATAACACTAATTAATTTGTGGCCATACTGTTAATTTTCAAAGTAACTGAAGGCATATATAAGGAGTTATGTCAGACAAGAAGAGTACAATGTTGGAAATCTTTCTTAGAATGTACAATGGAACAGAATAAAATAGTACCTGTGTTCTTTCATTTCCCGCTGAAAGCAAATAGAGAAAGCCTGGTATGGAGCTAATCATCATGGAGTGATAGTTATTGGTAACAGACATATTGGTTAAAAGCCGAAGCCCAGCTAGCTGCAGTTCAGAGTTCAAGGGAGCTGAACAGGTTTCCTCACAGACTCTGGCAATGTATGCCTTGGGGAAAATAAAAGAAACACATACAATCATTTCCAACAATGAAAAAGATGGTTCAAGTAATAGGAAGTTGAGAAGACCACTTCCTGTCCTCACAAAAGGATCAATATGCCATTCACTTTGCACTTTGTAATTGCTGTCACATATTCCTGCAGAACTCAAGATGGGATGGAGCATACTGCTTGCACTGCATAATACTACTACTACTAATAATAATAATAATCATCATCATCAACCTTTATTTATACCCCGCTACCATTTCCTGCAGGACTCAGTGCGGCTTATAAGAGGCCAGTTTACCAGCTGGACACGTTCCACAAAAGATGGAAAGGTCTTGGAAAAAAAGAGAAAAATTGGACATTTGGGAAGTGAAAAAATGGGGAAGGGGGGAGAAATGGGGAAAAACTGTGTCCCCCCCCATTTTTCAATGCCTTCAAAATAATGAGTAAAATATTCAGCTAATCACTTACATTAAAAAAGTTAGCATCAAACTGAAATGGAAAGGAAATTTTAACTCTGTCATGATTTAAATGATACAGGGTGAGGCAGCATAACTTCCTTTTTTCAAAACTTAATAAAACCCATTGTATGAATCAGAATTTTTTTTTTATAATGTAGGTGCATACCTAAAGTTTTGTTTTACGTAGTTTTGAAGATCAAATTAGGTAGGTGACGTCCCCCATTCTCCATACACTGAGTAAACCGATTTCTGGCGTTTGTCATGACTCTTGCCAGCATAGCAGGCTTTATGTTGGCAATTTCTTCCTGGATTTTGGTCTTCAAATCTTGTAGGGTCCTTGGACCGTTCACATAAACACGAGATTTCAAAAACCCCACAGAAAAAAATCACAAGGGGCCAAATCTGGAGAGCAGGCCGACCACTCCAAATCTGCTCGAAAAGTAGGCCTCAACGGCAAAAGCACGCTCCTCACTGTTCCAACGCATGAACTGTGTGAACTGTGTCGGGACAATACTTTATACTCCTGCCTCTTGAATGAGACTAGTGCTCCGCTATGTCTTCAAAAGACTGAATGGTGTACATTTTTTAAAAAGGAAGTTATGCTGCCTACCCTGTATTTCTTAGTTCAAACTTACCTTTATCACTTCCTGATTTTCAATATTCATACTCAGGTTATTAAGCGCATTCAGGGCTTTCTCTTTAATGTTAGCGACAGGAACTGAAAGCATTTTTCCAACAACAGGGAGGCCACCTAAATTTCGAATGGTATCCTGGAAATTATATAGAGGAAAAGTTCTAGTTAATTGAAACATGAACTCTACCTAAACCAACAAACTAGCTTCTTTCTAATCTGTGAAAATAACACTATTCATAATATTTACTCCATAGTTAGGTAGAATACTAGAGCAAAAATTCTGAAGCCACCAGGCATAAAATGGTAACACAAGACATTGGAGTATATTTGAATCAAAAGTTCCATCCAAGTGGAGACAGAACAAACACAATTAAACACTCCCTTCTTTCCAAGCCCCATCTAAGGACTCCTGTCCTCTGATACAAGGAAATGCAGCTTGGAAAAAAGAAAAATTGCCACCACCTTAAACGTGCCCATGGAAGTATTTTCTGTTCATCCATGAGGGATTTTTTTTTAAAAAAAATAGCCAATGATGTGAATGAGATATCCCTTTCCTTCCCACAACTCTCTGGCAAAGAATTTTGGTGTCTCACCAAACTATCCCAGTATTACATAGCATTGAGCCATGGCAGTTAAATGGTATCAAATTGCATTTATGCTACAATGTACGAGGGTTGAATGAAAAATGATGCCTCCAACTTCGTAACTCCTCAACAGATGGCAGTACTGGTATGCGACAGGTACTGACTTGTTCAGTAGACTCTCTACAGTTCCATTTTGGCGGGAAGCCTTAGCATTGAACGGTCGTGTTGTTAAAGTGCGAAGTATGGAACCCTGCACAGATGGTCGGTCAATGCGACTTAAGCAACGTGCAGTCATTGAATTCTTGACAGCAGAAGGTGTCACCCCAAAGGAGATTCATCAGAGAATGTAAGCTGTTTATGGTGATTGTGTTGATGTGAGTACTGTGCGTCGTTGGGCGGAGAAAGTTTAAAGATGTTGAGGTGGGAACATCTGACTTGTGTGACAAACAAAGAGTTGGATGTCCTGTGACAGCAACCACTGAGTTTCACAAGCAAAAGGTTGACAGATTGATTTAGGATGATCACCATATCACTCAGAGAGAAATTTCAAGCATAATCGTGGGTCACATTATTGCTTTGCTTGGCTATCGGAAGATCTGTGCACAATCGGTACCCAGGATGCTGATGCCTGAAATGAAAACGCACAGACTTGAAATTTGCCAGCAACTCCTCTTGTGTTATGAGAATTAAGGTGACACCTTTCTCCATTCAATTGTGGCAGGGGACAAAACGTAGGTACACTATTACGACCTGGAGACGAAGTATCAGTCTATGGAATATCGACACAAAGACTTGTCCCAGAAAAAGAAATTAAAGACACAGCTCTCAGCTGGAAAAATCATGGCAACGGTGTTCTGGGATGCAGATGTGTTATCCATGTTGATTTCCTTGAATGTGGAACAACATTAAATTCAGAGCGTTACATCACAACGCTGCGAACTTTGAAACGACGGTCCGAAAGGAAAAGGGAAATGTTTTCCTGCAGCATGCCAGACCACACACTTCACATGCCACCACAGAACTTCAGAGACTGGATCTCACCACCGTACGGCATCCTTCAAACAGTCCAGATTTAGCACCGTCTGACTTCCATCTGTTCCCCATAATGAAAGAAGATCTGCGGGGACATCATTATGCTTCTGATGAAGACGTTGAGAGAACTGTGAGACGCTGGTTGAAGAAACAGAGTGTTGACTTCTTCCATGACAGCTTCAGAAAACTTGTTCATTGTTGACAGAAATATATCCAATTGTCTGGTGATTATGTGGAAAAGTGAATAGTGGTAGTTAAAGAGCACATTCTAAGGATTATTTCTGCGTTTGATTTATTAAAATATTCCCATCCAAACCCAAGCAACTAAGGTGGAGGCATTATTTTTCATTCAACCCGGTATCATTCATCCCCAGAGTCCTAATCTAACATTCAAACCATACTGGCTCTGCTTTCTAACTGTTTGTAGATCACATGGCAGGATACTATACAGGAGATGCATCATTTTGATCAAATAATATCTCACATATTAAATTATGTGGCTTTACTTTTTATACAGGTGTTGTATAGTTTTTTCTTTGTGCATTGCTTAATACTAATAAAGAACTTACTTACCTGATTTATTGAAAATGCAGCACTGTTGCTCAATGTAATCAGAACTTGCTCCTGAATGGCAGAGTCCTTTGTAGACTCAAGTAAATAAATTAGATTTTGTAGGTCATCTGTTCCCAAACCATGAGGCGAGTTTGGAAAGTCAATGCCTGCTAATTACAGAAACACAGAGTCACCATCTAACATTAACAATTTTTATATGGCACTAATTTAATTTAGGCGGAAGATAGAAAAGAAGATATGAGACCAAACCACAATATTGCTTGCAATGTTTTTTCCAGCTCTGTCCAGACCACATGAAAAGTGAGATGGAAGCCTCCTTTGAAACAGGATTGTGATCTATCTCAAATTGGGTGTGTGATGTATATAACATCAGAGAAATATTGAAAAATAATAATATAACATACATACAGGTGTATACATGGACAATGGCCTCTACAGTATAATGAGGGGAAGTGTAGCCGGAATCTTGAAAACCAAAAACTTCTTAGGTAAGATGCACACTTGCAGCACTTCATTAATAGAAAGCAAAGGTGGCTGAGTAGCCATTAATTTAAAAAGAAATCAGAGCCATTAAGTCAATAGATAAGAGTTATTTACAGTTCCTGGGAAGAGAATTGGCCACTGTGCCTATACCTCAAGCAAAGTGATATTTGTGTGTGTGGCCCCTTCCACACAGCTGAATAAAATCCCACATTATCTGTTTTGAACTGGAATATATGGTAATGTGGATTCAGACAACCCAGTTCAAAGCAGATATTGTGGGATTTTCTGCCTTGATATTCTGGATTATATGGCTGTGTGGAAGGGACTGTGTCACACGGACATCCAGATATTGCTGGACTGCAGTCACCATCCATATAGTTCAGTAGTTTCCAATCTTTAGTCTTCCAAATAGTGGAGTCTTCAATTCCCAGAAGCCACAGCAAACTTGAATAATGTCAGGAATTCTGGAAGCTGAAGTCCAAAACACAAATGCCTGATTTCAAAGTCAAGATTTCAGTTGCTTCCTGCAGGTCAGGAGGGAGGGGGCAGACCTAACTTCGGTGGGGAGAGAGCGCGACTGTGAAGGTGGTGGGACCGAGAGCAGAGTCTCTCCAGAAGATCTTAAAGTCCTTGATGGTTTATAAGGGGGAGATATAAAGACATATATAAAGATATATAGACTTTCACTTGCTGGATGGTGCGTTCACCAATAGCAAAGTGGGGTTGCCCTGGAATTGAAGCTGTTTCCACTGAAGTCCGACCACATTTTAATTGACGTTGCCAATTCTTGACTACATTATTTTGATGTAATATGTTGTTCGGGCTGCTCTGAGTCCCCATCGGGGAAATGGTAGCAGGGTATAAATAAAGATTATTATTATATGTTCGGACAGGTAAACTGGGCCAGAACAGAGTAGGGTATTATAGGTTAAAACCAGCACTTTGAATTGTGTTCAGAAGCTAATTGACAGCCAGTGGAGCTGGTGTAACAAGGGAGTTGTTGACTGTTAAAATGTTGACATGATAGAAAAAGCTGGGGTCATTTTTGGATTCAAAAGTTAAAACGTTAATCAAAAACAAGTGTCAGATGTAGAATCATAGAATCATAGACAGGAGTATATACAGTTGATGGTTTATCCAAAATTAGGGCATACAAATATTGGATAAAACTAAATGCCATGGCAAATGATAGGCTACCAAAATTGTGCCTGTTAGAGCAGACCAAAAACCAACATCAGTCGTCTTGGCTAGTGCAACTGACAAAATACATCAGGACTTGTGAACTTCCAATTCTATACCCAAATCTTCTAGAGGAATTAGATCCAAAAATGGTGGCACAACGAATACAGGATATAGAGGCTCAGAAAGACATTGCCACCCTTAGTAAAGCCGGCTCACTGAAATGGTTAAGTCTCTTCAAACATACTTTTCAAACAGCCGAATACCTAAAGACAGAAATGCCTAAACATCTACGGAGGGTATTCACTAGAACCCGATTCGAACAGACAGATACAATGGTTAAACATGGAAGGTTTAACCAAGTTCCATATAATGAACGTTTCTGTATCTGTGGGGTGACAGAGGTAGAGGATATTACACATGTACTGTTTAATTGTATTTTGTACAACAAAGAGAGAAATCAATACCTCGGACCATTCATCATACAGAAGACTCACTGGGATCCCCATATCAAAACTACATTCTTAATGGCTGGCCAGAATGCTAAGATAACACACCAAACAGCCCTTTTCCTTCATAAAGCAACGCAGCTGAGAACTGCATATCTGGAGGAGACTGGGGTAAACTGTAGGGGTGACGCAGATATCTGAAGTGGCTTCGGATTGTGTAATAGCTGGCCTATTTTAACCTTTGTTTTAACCTTCATTTTTAATTTTTGTGGTTTGAAATTTTACCTTGGCATTTTAATGATGATATTTTTAATTATCTTTTAACCTAATCAAGTTTGAATGTATGTTAGTTCACTATTATGGGAGTCTTAGGATAGTGATTATTGTCTATTTGTGCACGTTTCTGTTTTTGTTTTTAATGTTGATATGGTCGATGGACTAATCAATAAACTTTGCTTGCTTGCTTGCTTGCATACAATCAGAGTTGGAAGAGACCTCATGGGCCATCCAGTCCAACCCCCTGCCAAGAAGCAGGAATACTGCATTCAAATCACCCCTGACAGATGGCCATCCAGCCTCTGTTTAAAAGCTTCCAAAGAAGGAGCCTCCACCACACTCCGGGGCAGAGAGTTCCACTGCTGAACGGCTCACACAGTCAGAAAGTTCTTCAGATGGAATCTCCTCTCTTGTAGTTTGAAGCCATTGCTCCGTGCCCTAGTCTCCAAGGAAGCAGAAAACAAGCTTGCTCCCTCCTCCCTGTGGCTTCCTCTCACATATTTATACATGGCTATCATATCTCCTCTCAGCCTTCTCTTCTTCAGGCTAAACATGCCCAGCTCCTTAAGCCGCTCCTCATAGGGCTTGTTCTCCATACCCTTGATCATTTTAGTCGCCCTCCTCTGGACACATTCCAGCTTGTCAATATCTCTCTTGAATTGTGGTGCCCAGAATTGGACACAATATTCCAGGTGTGGTCTAACCAAAGCAGAATAGAGGGGTAGCATTACTTCCCTAGATCTAGACACTATGCTCCTATTGATGCAAGCCAAAATCCCATTGGCTTTTTTTGCCGCCACATCACATTGTTGGCTCATGTTTAACTTGTTGTCCACGAGGACTTCTACCCAAACTGGTCCAAGGCTCACCTTGCTGAGGAGTGGCGGCCTCTCTCTGGCCACTCGAGTTGGAAACCAAGGGGAGGGCCGAAGCTGCTCGCAAGAGGGCGCTTGGCTCCCTTTCCCCTGGGTCCGCTCCCTTGCGGCGCCTCCTTCTCCTGGAGGCCAGGCCATAGAGGGCCCAGCACACGCCGGCGCCCACCGCCAGCCCCACCAGGCCCGCTTTCAGGGCTGAGTCCCGCATGGCCGCCGGAAAAGAAGGAAGGAAGGCAGCCCAGCATCGCCATCAGGGGGCGCCCCGCGCAGGAAGAAGCGCACGCTGCTCAGCCCTGGAAGGACAACAGCAGATTCGCTTTTCTACAGTTTCCAAGCTTTTTTAAAATTATAATTTCTCATTACTTCACCCCACCCCCTTTTGAATCGTGGAAGGGTGCCACAGCCGCAGTTCACAAATCGGAGGGACATAACAATATAGCAGGAAGACACGAAAAACAAATCAACGTAAACCTGGGAAAATCTCCCAGAGCAGCGGATTCGCAAGAGCAGATTCGCCACAAACCAAACCAAGGGATTGGGTTGATGGATATTCTGTTTTTAAAGGGCAAGAGACACGAAGGGCAAGGCAAATAGAGTCCCTCCACACAACCATTTTAAGGTTAAGGTTTTCCCCTGACTGTAAATCCAGTCGTGGGCAATTCTGGAGGGTTGTGCTCATTATACACAAAATAATCTATGTCAGCAACAAAAAATACTCAAGGAGCATAAAATATATGATATTCAGTATATAAAGGTAAAGGTTGTCCCCTGACATTAAGTCCAGTCATGGCTGATTCTGGGGTGTGGTGCTCATCTCCATTTCTAAGCCGGCGTTGTCCATAGACACCTCCAAGGTCATGTGGCCGGCATGACTGCATGGAGCGCCCTTTCCTTCCCGCCGGAACGGTACCTATTGATCTACTCACATTTGCATGTTTTCGAACTGTTAGGTTGGCAGAAGCTGCGGCTGGCAGCGGAAACTCACACCGCTCCCCGGATATGAATAATAATAATATTATAATAACACTTTATTTATACCCCGCTACCATCTCCCCAGGGGACTCGGTGCGGCTTACTTGAGGCCGAGCCCAAAATACAACAATACAACAATAACAACAACAATACTAACCTGCAACCTTTTGTTCAACAAGTTCAGCAGCTCAGCAGTTTAACCCACTGTGCCACTGGGAACTCCACACAGCCATATAACCCAAAATATTAAGGCAGATAATCCACAACATTAGAACTGTCCACATTGCCATATGATCCAGTGGATTTTATACAGCGGTGTGGAAGACGCCATAGACACCCATCACCAAACCTTGGAACAAAACATTGACTCCTTCTACATTGCCTTATAAAATCCAGATTATCTTTTTTGAACTGGATTATATGGTAGTATAGACTCATACAATCCAGTTCAAAGCAGACAATGTAGATTAAATGGCAGTGTAGAAGGGGCCAATGAAACTAAGGAAAATGAATTAAAGGCTACGCTGCCCCATATCCCAGGATCTGGTCCCAGATTATCTGCTTTGAACTGGATTATATTATTTGAGTCTCACTGTCCGAATGGATTTTCCTTTATGAACCACTGTGGAAACTAAGTTCTTCTGGGGGGCCCTGCTCTTGGTCCCGCCACCATCACAGACGTGTTTGGCAAGGATGAGAAACAGGGCCTTCTCAGTGATTGCCTCCCTATTATGGAACTCCCTTCCTGGCAATATTAGATCAGCCCCCTCCCTTCTGTCCTTCAGAAGGATGGTATAGATCTAGCTGTGGGACCAAGCCTTTGGGGCAGTACAATGAGGCAAAATGGTGTCCTGAGATGGTTTTAAAGCAACTTTTAATGCGGATATAAGTGATTTTAATATTTGTATGTCCCGATATTGAATGTTTGCCATATATATATGTTGTGCTCTGCCCTGAGTGAGAGGGGAGGAATATAAATGTTTTGAATAATATAATATAATATAATCTGGGCTAAGAAGGTAATCTGCAGTGAGATCCTGGGATCGGGGCAGCTTACAAGGGGCAAACCCAACAATCTATATAAATAAAAATGCAATGTTTGTTTGTGGGATTAACATAACTCAAAAAGCACTGAACGAATTGACACCAAATTTGGACACAAGACACCTATCAAGCCAACGAGTGACCATCACTTATAAAAACACTGAAAACACAGCAAAAGGGACTTCAAAAGCAAAAAAAAACAAAACAAAAAAAACCCAAAGTGATGCTACAGCGCATGGCAATCAAAACACACAATAGCATATCCACACTCTCTTCCGAACTACATCTCCCAGTATCCCCTAGACCAGGCCCTTTAGGAGAGGAGGAGGATCCAAATGCACTGCTTCCAAGCTGCAAACTTCTTGGATTTCTTTGAGAGCATCCCAATCCCTGCGTATTTCCAATTTCCTATTCCTGGACTGCAACTCCCAGCAATTCTACAGATAGATAGATTAGATCAGTGGTTCTCAACCTGTGGGTTCCCAGATGTTTTGGCCTCCAACTCCCAAAAATCCTAACAGCTGGTAAACTGGCTAGGATTTCTGGGAGTTGTAGGCCAAAACACCTGGGGACCCACTGGTTGAGAAACACTGGATTAGATAGAGATAGGTAGGTAGGTAGGTAGGTAGGTAGATCAGAAGGACTGTTGGGAGTTGCAGTACAAAAGTAGGTAGAGAAGGAAGAAAGAAAAGGGAAAGAAAAAAGGGGAGGGGAAGGAAGGGAAGAGGAAGAGGAAGAGGAAGAGAAGGAAGGAAGGAAGGAAGGAAGGAAGGAAGGAAGGAGAGAATGAAAGAAAAAAAAGAAAAGGAAGGAAGGAGAGAAAGAAAGAGGAAGGGAAGGCTGGCCACAGCAACACGTGGTGGGTAGCTAGTCAATATAAATAAAAATGTAATGTTCGTTTGTGGGATTAACAACTCAAAAACCACTGGACGAATTGCCACCAAATTTGGACATAAGACATCTACTCACCCAAGGAGTGACCATCATTAAAAAAAATGGATTTTGTCATTTGGGAGTTGTAGTTGCTGGGATTTATAGTTCACCTACAATCCAAGTGCATTCTGAACTCCACCAATGATGGAATTGAACCAAACGTGGCTCACAGGATTCCCATGACCAACAGAAACACTAGAAGAGTTTTGTGGGCATTGACCTTGATTTTGGGAGTTGTAGTTCACCTACATCCAGAGAGCACTGTGGACTCAAACAATGATGGATCTGGACCAAACTTGGAACGAATATTCCATATGCCCAAATATGAACACAGATGGAGGTTGGGGGAAATAGACTTTGACATTTGGAAGTTGTAGTTACTGGGATTCATAGTTCACCTACAATCAAAGAGCATTTTGAATCCCACCAGCGATAGAATTGGGCTAAACTTCCCACACGGAACCCCCATGACCAACAGAAAATACTTAAGGCCATCCAGTCCAACTCCCTTCACCAGGGCAAGAAAACGTAATCAAACCCCTCCTGACAAAGAGCCATCCAGCCATAGATATATTTATTTATCGTGTCAGGAGCAACCAAACAGTTGTATTACATTTTTAACAAAACAAACAAACAGACAGGCAAAACACAAAGTTTGCAAGCTTGGTAGTTGATTAAATGTCCTTTGACCAGTATCTGGCCACTTGGAGTGCTTCTGGTGTTGCTGCAAGAAGGTCCTCCATTGTGCATGTGGCAGGGCTCAGGTTGCATTGCAGCAGGTGGTCAGTGGTTTGCTCTTCTCCGCACTCGCATGTCGTGGATTCCACTTTGTAGCCCCATTTCTTAAGGTTGGCTCTGCATCTCGTGGTGCCAGAGCGCAGTCTGTTCAGCGCCTTCCAAGTCGCCCAGTCTTCTGTGTGCCCAGGGGGGAGTCTCTCATTTGGTATCAGCCATTGATTGAGGTTCTGGGTTTGAGCCTGCCACTTTTGGACTCTCGCTTGCTGGGGTGTTCCAGCGAGTGTCTCTGTAGATCTTAGAAAACTATTTCTTGATTTAAGTCGTTGACGTGCTGGCTGATACCCAAACAGGGGATGAGCTGGAGATGTCACTGCCTTGGTCCTTTCACTATTGGTTGCTACTTCCCGGATGTCAGGTGGTGCAATACCGGCTAAGCAGTGTAATTTCTCCAGTGGTGTAGGGCGCAGACACCCCGTGATAATGCGGCATGTCTCATTAAGAGCCACATCCACTGTTTTAGCATGGTGAGATGTGTTCCACACTGGTCATGCATACTCAGCAGCAGAGTAGCATAGCGCAAGGGCAGATGTCTTCACTGTGTCTGGTTGTGATCCCCAGGTTGTGCCAGTCAGCTTTCGTATGATATTGTTTCTAGCAGCCACCTTTTGCTTGATATTCAGGCAGTACTTGAATAGATATGATTCACATAGACACAGATATAGATTTGAAAGGGACCCCTAAAGAAGGAAAATAATATGTTGCATGTTCCAGAGTAGGCAAACCAAACAATCTCCACATCAACACTGACAAAAAACAGCAGAAATACTTGCCATACATCAAGGGAATCACTGACCGCATAGGGAAGCTGATGAGGAAACACAACATACAAACTATCTACAGACCCACCAAGAAAATCCAACAAATGCTACGTTCAGCAAAGGACAAGAGAGATCCTCTCACTTCTGCAGGAGTTTACCGTATACCGTGCTGCTGTGGACAAGTCTACATAGGGACCACCAAAAGCAGCATTGCCCAAACACGAATCAAGGAACATGAAAGGCACTGCAGACTACTTCAGCCAGAGAAGTCAGCCATAGCAGAGCACCTGATGAACCAACCTGGACACAGCATATTATTTGAGAACACAGAAATGCTGGACCACTCTCACAACCACCATGTCAGACTACACAGAGAAGCCATTGAAATCCACAAGCATGTGGACAATTTCAACAGAAAGGAAGAAACCATGAAAATGAACAAAATCTGGCTACCAGTATTAAAAAAACTCTAAAATTACAACAACAAAACAACAGAGAGGAAACAATCAGGCACATCAAATCACCTCTCAACAAAATATTCCCCCAGGCACTTCCAAGCCATTAAATGCTAATCAAGGTGGTCAGTTGAAACATTCACACCTAGTTCCAGCAGACAAGAGTCCTTTGTCCCACCCTGGTCATTCCACAGATATATAAACCCATTTTCCTACTTCCAACAGACCTCACTACCTCTGAGGATGCTTGCCATAGATGCAGGCGAAACGTCAGGAAAATGCCTCTAGAACATGGCCATATAGCCCGAAAAAACCTACAACAACCCAGCAGAAATACTGTTTACCCACAAGCATAAAGACATTACATATATTAGAAACCAACATTTTCTCATTACTTTCTCATCACTAGACTGGGCTACAGCAGCGCGTGGCAGGGGACAGCTAGTCCCAACATAAAAAAAAGGTTAGTGTGAATGGCGCTGCCACATTGGTCAGCTCCTCCTTTCCTTCTTTTGAATACTTCTGGTGTCTGGCCGTTTGAGTGGCAGGCGAGGGCGAGTGGGCCGGCGCGCGCTGACCACCCGGAGCTTGGCTCGAGGGCACGTGCAGCCCGGTTGCTAGGCGACCGCCAAACGGTCACCTCAGGGGGGCCAGGCCGGGAGGAGGACCCCCTCCTCTCCTCTCCTCTCCTCTCTGTGGGACCATGGCTACGTTTCAAGGCGTGGGCCCCGAACTCAGGGCCTACTTCAAGAAACACTCCATCCCTGACATCTATGAGGTAAAAGGGCCGCCTGGGGAAATTGGAGAGGGATGAAACCAAGTCTAATATGTTGCCAGGGAAGGCCTTCCTTTTTTTGCTGTGCTGCCCTGGTAGGCATGCATTCTTATGACCCACTTCCATCCCGCTAGGCCAGAGAGTCTCAAGGAGAGTTTCCTTACCAGTCACACCTTCAGTACTGTATTTGTGTGGCTTTGTTTTGGAACTGAACTAGTATCTTGAAGAGCTTTTAAAATTGAATATAGAATCATAGAATTGGAAGAGACCTCATGGGCCATCCAGTCCAACCCCCTGCCAAGAAGCAGGAAGATTGCATTCAGATGGCCATCCAGCCTCTGTTTAAAAGCTTCCAAAGAGCTTTTAAAATTGAATATAGAATAGGGTTACAGCCTGTGTTGGATGGGGTTCGCACTCCCCCTGAAGACGCAGGTTCGCAGCTTGGGTGTGACCCTGGACTCATCACTGAGCCTGGAACCCCAGGTTTCGGCGGTGACCAGGGGAGCATTTGCACAGCTAAAGCTTGTGCGCCAGCTGCGCCCGTACCTTGGGAAGTCTGACTTGGCCACGGTAGTCCACGCTCTGGTTACATCCCGTTTAGACTACTGCAACGCTCTCTACGTGGGGTTGCCTTTGAAGACGGCCCGGAAGCTACAATTGGTCCAACGTGCTGCAGCCATGATACTAACAGGAGCCGGACACAGGGAGCATACCACCCCCTTGTTGTACCAGCTCCACTGGCTGCCGATTTGCTACCGGGCCCAAGTCAAGGTGCTGGCGTTGGCCTATAAAGCCTTAAACGGTTCCGGCCCAAGATACCTATCCGACCGTATCTCGACCTATGAACCCACCAGGACTTTGAGATCTTCCAGGGAGGCCCTGCTCTCGATCCCGCCTGCTTCACAAGCAAGGCTGGCGGGGACGAGAGATAGGGCCTTCTCGGTGGTGGCCCCTCGGCTGTGGAACGCCCTTCCCACAGACATTAGACTGGCCCCCTCTCTAATAATTTTCCGCAGGAAATTAAAAACCTGGTTGTTTAAGAAGGCATTCGAACAAGAAGTGCAATGATTGGTAATGACTATAGGAACGGAATAATGGAATACGACATAGGATTGTGGTTTGGACGATGAGACGACGCGGAATGGTTTTTGTAGAAATGATGTTACTGTTTTTTGTATAATGTTGTGAATTGTTTTTATCGTGCTTTGAATTTTGTTGCTTTCGTGTTGTACACCGCTGTGAGTCGCCCTCAGGCTGAGAACAGCGGTCTATAAATAAATAAAGTAAATAAATAAGAAAGAGCCTCTACCAGAAAAAAATTTCGGGGAGGGTTAAAACCTTTTTTAGCAAATCATGAAGAGTAGTTCGAGGGAGAGGGCCTTCTTGGTGGTGGCCCCCCGACTCTGAAACTCACTTCCCAAGGACATCAGACATGCCCCAACTCTGGCAGTCTTTACTTACTTACTTACTTAGGCGATCCCTCGTTGGCCAAGTAGAATAGTCTTCCAGGTTCAGAATTCTTGGAGTCTTGGCAGTGAGTCCGTAGGTCACTGTGGAGCCCTATTCTTGACCTGCATCTTCTCCAGCAGTGAGGGCATTGGTTTCCAGGTGGAAGGCGGTCCCGGTCGGGGTTGGCTTGATGCACCTTCCTCTTGGCACGTTTCTCTCTTTCACCCTCCATTCGTGCCTCTTCAAATTCTGCAGCACTGCTGGTCACAGCTGACCGCCAATTTATTTATTTATTGATTTCTCGCACTTCTACCCCGCCCTTTTCTACCCTCGAGGGGGGACTCAGGGTGGCTTACAATAGGCACAATTCGATGCCAACACAAACAATAAGATAAAAATAAAACATATATAAACAGTAATTAAAACAATTAAAAACAATCCATTATACATCATAATCAAGAAAAACCCAATCTAGTGCTCAACGTTTGTCAGCTCAGAGTCCGTAAATTCATTCCACATTGTCAAAACCATCAATTCTAGTCGTCATTGTCCTTTGTCTATCTGCCAGATTACCCAAAAGCCTGGTCCCATATCCATGTTTTTAATTTCCTTCTAAAAGAGAGGAGGGATGTCGATGACCTAATTTCCCCGGGGAGTGAATTCCACAGGTGAGGGGCCACCACCGAGAAGGTCCTGCTCCTCGTCCCCACCAATCTCACTTGTGATAGAGGTGGGGCCGAGAGCAGGGCCTCCCCAGAAGATCTTAAACTCCGAGGTGGGACGTAGAAGGAGATGCATTCGGACAGATACGCTGGGCCAGAGCCAACTGGAGCGCTCAAGGCCATGGCTTCCCAGCTCTCAGTATCTATGCCAGCATTTTTAAGGTTGGCTTTGAGCCCATCTTTAAATCTCTTTTCCTGTCCTCCAACATTCCATTTTCCGTTCTTGAGTTCGGAGTAGAGCAACTGCTTTGGGAGACGGTAGTCAGGTATCCGGACAACGTGGCCGGTCCAGCGAAGTTGATGGCGAAGGACCATCGCTTCAATGCTGGTGGTCTTTGCTTCTTCCAGCACGCTGACATTTGTCCGCCTGTCTTCCCAAGAGATTTGCAGGATTTTCCAAAGGCAGCACTGATGGAATCATTCCAGGAGTTGCATGTGATGTCTGTAGACATTCCACGCATGTGACATCTGTAGACAGTACACATTTCGCAGGCATATAGCAGGGTTAGGAGGACAATAGCTTTATAAAGCACCTTGGTATCCCTACGGATGTCCCGATCCTCAAACACTCTGCTTCATTCGGAAACATGCCCAGCTCTTTAAGCCGCTCCTCATAGGGCTTGTTCTCCAGACCCTTGATCATTTTAGTCGCCCTCCTTTGGACACATTCCAGCTTGTCAATATCTCTCTTCAATTATGATGCCCAGAATTGGACACAGTATTCCAGATGTGGTCTAACCAAGGCAAAATAGAGGGGTACAATGACTTCCCTGGATCTAGACACTAGACTCCTATTGATGAAGGCCAAAATCCCATTGGCTTTTTTCGCTGCTGCGTCACATTGTTGGCTCATGGTTAACTTGTTGTCCATGAGGACTCCAAGATCTTTTCCACTAGCACTGCCCTCGACCCACGCGTCCCCCATTCTGTATCTTTGCATTTCATTTTTTCTGCCTAAGTGGAGTATCTTGCATTTGTCACTGTTGAACTTCATTTTGTTAGTTTTGACCCATCTCTCTTAATTTGTCAAAATTGTTTTGAATTCTGTTCTTGTCGTCATTTGCCCTCTATGATTTAGTCATATATTGCTTATATATAGAGACATCAGCCAAATGGTCATGGTAACTAAATTAAATTTATTTGCTGTCCTAATGCAATAAGAGAATACAGGAAGTCCCCAAGTTACGAAGAAGACAGGTTTGCTCTTAACATGGATTTGTTTGTAAGTTGGAACAGGTACATTTTAAAGTGTAACTCCAGCCACCTCACTTTCTGTCCCTGTGATAATTGGATTTTGAGAAATTTGGCTTATTGTGGAAACAATGATTGGTGATAAAACTTCAGTAGAGACCCCTTTCTCCTATGTAAATAACTCTATCAGGAGTAATTTTCCTTTCCTAGGGGTAAATTTCCCTCACTTCCTTTTGTCTCATCCCGGTTCTTAACTGTGAGTCATTTGAAAATCAGATGTTTGTAACTTGGGGACTGCCTGTACGCACTTACATTTTTCAAAAGCAAGTTCTATTCCACTCCAGCAGAGGGAGCAGTAGACAAAATTGAAGGACTTTATCTAATGCTGCATATTTGTGACACCTATTGTATTCCACATCCTCTATATTAAGCTAAATCCAACTGTTGTGAATCACATTTAAGTGCCTCTGCTTTCAGGGGGAGGGTTAAACAAGAACTATGTTATTTTCCAGTTAAATCAATAGATTTTACTTTTTCACCATTGGTCTTATTGATTCATTTAACAGGGACTATTTGTTTTGTAGGGAGCTGGCATAGTGCTGTCTGTTTTTGGACTTTTAACTCTGGAGACCTAATTCAAATGCCTGCTCACTCAAGGTGCATCCAGACCTGACAGAAATGCGCACCAAAACCACATTTGGCCCGACCTTTGGTTTTAAATATTTATATGTTACTGTTGATTGCTTATTGTCTATTTTGTTTATGTGATTATGATTTATATTTATATACTGCTCAAGCAGGGAGCTTTGAGATGGTAGAAAAGAAGCTTTCCGAAGCTCTAGGTGCTCTTACTGCCTATTACAGGGAAAACCAGCTGATCCCCAACCCATCCAAAACACAGACATGTGCCTTTCACCTTAAGAACAGACAAGCATCCCGAGCTCTGAGGATTACCTGGGAAGGAATCCCACTGGAGCATTGCAGCGCACCCAAATACCTGGGAGTCACTTTGGACTGTGCTCTGACCTACAAGAAGCACTGCCTGAACATCAAGCAAAAAGTGGGTGCTAGAAACAATATACGAAAGCTGACTGGCACAACCTGGGGATCACAACCAGATACAGTGAAGACATCTGCCCTTGCGCTGTGCTACTCTGCTGCTGAGTATGCATGCCCAGTGTGGAACACATCTCACCACACTAAAACAGTGGATGTGGCTCTTAATGAGACATGCCGCATTATCACGGGGTGTCTGCGCCCTACACCACTGGAGAAATTACACTGCTTAGCCGGTATTGCACCACCTGACATCGGCCGGGAAGTAGCAGCCAATAGTGAAAGGACCAAGGCAGAGACATCTCCAGCTCATCCCCTGTTTGGGTATCAGCCAGCACGTCAACGACTTAAATCTAGAAATAGTTTTCTAAGATCTACAGAGACACTCGCTGGAACACCTCAGTAAGCGAGAGTCCAAAAGTGGCAGGCTCAAACCCAGAACCTCAACCAATGGCTGATACCAAATGAGAGACTCCCCCCTGGGCACACAGAGGACTGGGCGACTTGGAAGGCGCTGAACAGACTGCGCTCTGGCACCACGAGATGCAGAGCCAACCTTAGGAAATGGGGCTACAAAGTGGAATCCTCGACATGCGAGTGTGGAGAAGAGCAAACCACTGACCACCTGCTGCAATGCAACCTGAGCCCTGCCACATGCACAATGGAGGACCTTCTTGCAGCAACACCAGAAGCACTCCAAGTGGCCAGATACTGGTCAAAGTACATTTAATCAACTACCAAACTCACAAATTTTGTATTTTGTCTGTTTGTTTGCTTTGTTCTGTTAGAAATGTAATATAATTGACTGGCTTGCCCTGACACGACAAATAAATAAATAATTGTTTATTGATATTTTATTTTATTGATGTTCTGTTTATTGATGTATTGCGGGCTTGGCCTCATGTAAGCCGCACCGAGTCCTTTGGGGAGATGGTAGCGGGGTACAAATAAAGTGTTATTATTATTATCTTTATTATATTAAAATCCCGCTTTGGCTCACATTTCTGTCTCCATTGAGTGCCCACATTCCCTCCCAGTAACTTCTAGGAGCTCATGGAAATACTGACCCCTCCCCCCCCAAAAAAAAAGCTTCTATAAGAAAAATAAAACTTACAAGGCATCATGAGGCATCTCCAGTGATTTTCTTCCTCTGCTCCCCTCTCTTGGTGCATCATTTCTACGTGCCAAGAGGCCTGCTGTAGAGGCCTTATGGTGCCTGGTAAGTTTTATTTTCTTTTAAAGGCTTTGTGGGGGGTAGGGGAGGTGATTTTGGGAAGGGAGTGGGTGTCCTTCTCACTTCTCGAGGCTTTTGGAAACCCAAAGAAGTGATATGGGTGTGGAGAGTGGCTCCGCAGACTATCCAGGAGTCAGTCCCCTTTCAAAAAGGCCCAAGTCTAATGGGATATTTGATTAATTTGGAACAAAACAGGGGTTTCCTGCTTTGTCGAGAATTAATCCTTTTACCTGACGTTTGGACGCCTCCTGTAAAAGTGTGACAGGGCCTGCATTTTGGGCTCTGTCTGGAAGGGCCCTCATTCTCAGAAGAAGGCAAAACCCTCTCTGAACTAATTTGTGTCAGTTTCACCATAAATCAGAAACTTCTTTTGTACAAAAAACAACTACAGTCCTAAAATATAGATTTTATATGATATTTAAAGCAGCAACTGTATTTGGGATCTATTTTGCTAAATGCATGATATGGAATGCTGTATTAACTGGCGCACAAGTAGGAACATTAAAAATAGGAGTAAAATAACAAAAATAATTATAAGCGATAGGTGAATAAATTGTGACTTTGCAGATGCTGTTCAGCTATTATTTCCAGCATCTTGGACGCTAAACACTATGGGTAGAGCTATGGGGAGGCTGAATCCCCTAAATCTTTACAATACCAGTTTTACTTTCTGTTAGCAATCTATATAAATAAAAATGTAATGTTCGTTTGCGGGATTAGCATAACTAAAAAACCARTGGATGAATTGACACCAAATTTGGACACAATACACCTATCTGGCCATTGAGTGATCATCACTCATAAAAACACTGAAAAACATAGCAGAAGGGACTTAAAAAGCCAACCCCCCCCCCCAAATTACACTCTGTGCAAAACCATACACACACACAGACATATACACATATATGCATATACACACACAAAACACATACACAAAAAGAGGGAAGGAGAGAAGGAGGGAAGGAGAGAAGGAAGGAAAGAAAGAAGGAGAGAGAAAGAGGGAAAGAAGGAYGGGAGAGAAAGAAGGAAAGAAAGAAGGGTAGAGAAGGAAGGAAGGAGAGGAGGAGAGAGAGGAGGGAGAGAAAGAGGGAAAGAAGGAGAGAAAGAAGGAAAGAAAGAAAGATAGAGAAGGAAGGAAGGAAGGAGAGGAGGGAGAGAAAGAATGAAAGGAGGGAAGGAGAGAAGGAAAGAAAGAAAGGTAGAGAAGGAAGGAGAGAAGGAAATAAAAAAGTGAAAGAGGGAAGGAAGGCGAGAAGGAATGAAAGGGAGACAAAGGGAAGGAAGGAAGGAGACAAGGAAGGATGGAACCAAAGAGCAAAGGAAGCGAGAAAAGAAACAGGTAGAGAAGGAAAGAAGAAGAAGAGAAAGAAAAAGAGGGAAGGAAGGAAAGAGGGAGGGAAGGAAGGAGTGAAAGAAAGAGGGGGGAAGGTTTGCCACAGCAATGCGTGGCAGGTACAGCTAGTAATCTATAAGGGGATTAACATTTTCAACTTATTTTTATACTTTTATAGATGTATGCTTTATTTATCAGAATTTCAGATATGAATTTTTCTTTGCAGGCCCTACTATCTGGTTTATTAATTATGTGCCCAGATGATCCACTCAAATTTTTAGAAGAAAAGATCAAAGAAATGATGGAGAAAGGAGTATATAGTATTTTATGGTATGTATGTAATATTTTGCATGGGCTATAAATGTGATAAGATTTGAAATACTGAAATATGGGAAGTGTTATGTAGTTGCTGTAAAGACCTTCCACATAGAAAGTGCTCTTAACAAATTTTAAGTGAAAACATCAACTAGCTGAAAACAAATAAAGAACATGGAACCCAGATTAAGTCAGGGGTTATCTAAATAATGCATTCTTACATGTAATAATTTTCCATATCAGTTAGTAACCTTTTGGGTTATTTGTATACTGAGTTGGGTACATCTGCTAACACTAATTAATAAATTTCACGTAGGAGAGACCACAGCAATGAGATCTATTGTGGGGAGGGGGGGGGGAAGAACCCTATCAAAATAATGTTGTTTTTAGTTGATGTAATATTCTCCCAAAAAAAATAATGTATTTTTCCCATCAGGAATATGTGTATTGACCCAGAGTTAAGCCTGAAGCTAAAAGTGATTTCAGAAACATACTTACATACTCTTTTGGGACTTGATGATGATCAGCTGGTAATTATTAATAAACCTTTTCTGATGTATTTTCATTTTTCAATTGTACTCAAAATTAATTACTGGCCTTGTGTTTCCCCAATAATAATTAAAAAGAAAAGATGCCTTCTTCCCTAAGAATTCCTAATCTAAAGCTGCAATCCCAAACACTGTTACTATAGAGCATAACAATAT